TGTCTTCAGCAGTTGTGTCGGGAAGGTGAGCATCATAGAATGCCAATTTAATAGAAGAAAGTATTCTTGCGTTGAGGGAGTACTTAAGTGGAGGCCCAATGTCCTTCTACTACCTTAATACTAAACCTATAAATGTAGGCTCATAGATCTATTTCCCCATCCTCGTATAAATATATTTGCATACGTACATGTCTTTATCTAGACCTCTATAAATGCCCTTTTCAAAGTACTCTCCATTACACTTACCATATATACTCAAGTATAAGCCTACCCAAATATCAGCCAAGGCACCTAATTTTACTACAAAAACTGCATTTAAAATGTGTTGCAAAACTCAGCTTATACACACGTATATACGGTAATACATTTGTCAAATCTGAGATTCCATTCTTGTGAACATTTTTCAAAAGCATGTTTGAATGGCTGACAGAACCTCCCTTATTTTTTTCTTCACTTCTTCTACTTTGTCAACTTGCCGTCCTTTCTTGATTCTCTGCATTCAGGGAAACAAAAAGAAGTTGCACTGAGCGAGGTCAGGTGAGCAAGGTAAATGGGCCAAGAAAATAATGTTGTTTTTCGCCAAAAATGACACACTGAGATGGCTGCGGGACCAGGTGCATTGTTATGGTAGCAAAACCAATCCTCCATTTGCCACATATAAGGCCTTTTCTTTTGTCGCACAGTTATGCTATCTTTTCAGAACTTCTAAATAGAAAGCTTGATTAACAGTCTGACCTGGTGTAATAAACTCCAAATGTACTACTAGTTGACATTTTCATCAGTTCGGGAAGTTGACGGATGTCCAGACGATGTTTGTCATCAATCAACATTTCATCTTTTTTGAAACACGAAAACCACTTGCACACTTGAGTTTTTCCCATAGTGCTGTCCTTGTAAGCTGTGTTCAACATCACAACAGTTTCTGTGGCATTTTTCCAGAGGAAAAAGAACAAAATCTCACACAGCACATGCTGTTCTCTTAAAACAGCCATGACAAAAAACGAGGTTCAAGCAAAACCGGGTTTTTAAAATAATTTTCTTGGGGGCTCATACAACTCTTATCACAATCCATACATACATCAATTGTGTCAAGCACATTTGTACATTCATTACCCTCATCATTCTCAAAACACTTACTCTCCACGTAAGCCCCCAGCATTAGCTCCTCATTTTTCCCCATCCCTCTCCGCTCCCTCCTCCCTCATGAACCCTTGATAATTTATAAATTATTATTTTGTCATATCTTACACTGCCCGATGTCTCCCTTCACCCACTTTTCTGTTGTCCGTCCCCCAGGGAGGAGGTTATATGTAGACCCCTGTAATCGGTTCCCCCTTTCTACCCAACCCTCCTGGTATCGCCACTCTCACCACTGGTCCTGAAGGGATCATCCATCCTGGATTCCCTGTGTTTCCAGTTCCTATCTGTACCAGTGTACATCCTTTGGTCTAGCCAGTTTTGTAAGGTATAACTGGGATAATGATAGTGGGTGGGGAGGAAGCGTTTCAGAACTAGAGTTAAGTTGTATGTTTCATTGTTGCTACACTACACCCTGACTGGCTCATCTCCTCCCGCAACCCTTCGGTAAGGGGATGTCCAGTTACCTACAGATGGGCTTTGGGTCCCCACTCTGCACTCCCCCTCATTCACAGTGATATGATTTTTTGTTCTGATGATGCCTGACACCTGATCCCTTCAGCACACCTCGTGATGACAGGCTGGTGTGCTTCTTCCATGTGGGCTTTGTTGCTTCTGAGCTAGATGGCCACTTGTTTACCTTCAAGCCTTTAAGTCCCCCAGACAAGTGAAACCATTTTTATGAAAAAATTCAATGTGATCAGGGAGAACCTTCCTAGGTGACACCACTGGATGCACTAACTCAGAGTGAGTTGCTTGATGCTCAACTAGCAGGAAAAATGTGTACTACAAAGGCTCTGCTAGGCGGAGCTTTTTTCCCATTTTGGAGGAGCACCCCCCTCATAGGTATTATCCTATCACAGATAGTGTTACATTTCAAGATAAATATTGAAATAATTCTTTTCTATGATACAAAAGTCATTACTTTTGTTTGTCATTTCCAACATAGAAAGCTATATGGTTATCTATTCAGAATGGCTAATACTAGTCAGTTTCAGCTCTCTAATGTCTAAGATATCTTTGTGTATTCCATTTCACTTCCAACAACTTTCATTTTCCTAGATTCATATTTCATAATTCCACGTTCTGATTATTAACATGTTTGTAGTTGTTTCTTCTCATTTTGAAGAATGTCCTATATAAAAAATAAAGGTCCTGGAAACACAGTTTGTCCATATCATTAAAATCAACTCTACTTTGAGGATGTATCTTTTCCCCAGTTGTATTTTGAATACCTTTGAACATGAGTGGCTTCTCTTCCAGCTCTATGTCAGACATATACTGCTGTTATTCATAAGGTTTTTAGTGGCTAATTCTTCAGAAGCAGATAGTCTATCCTTTTTCCTAATGTTTTAGTGTACAAAAAAGAGCCCCATTTTTTAAATATATGATTTAAGGAGAACATTTATTAAATCCTAATGAGATAAAGACAACACAAAAGCACAGATCTATCCTTCGGATGAGGTCATTAGCACAAGGTTAAAATGGAATTGGAGGATTTGCAATTGAGAAGCTAGATAAATAAGGCATGGAACAAAGGGAACTGTCACAAATTCATGATTGGTGGCAGATCAATACACCACAGTTGCAGGTGGAACTACAGAAGCAGAAACAGGACCATGACTAGGAATAACAAATTATTAGGTAGAAGGGCTTACAAGATTGGTCCAGGGCCTTCCCACTAAGGCAATCAGCGAGAGATTGATAAGCCATGATTCATGACTTTTCAACTGTCTGTACTCTCCCCAGTATGGTGAACTCCATCAAGGACATACCCAGGCAAACCCCTAAGAAATAGACTTCCCTTCCTTGGGTTGGCTGGAAAGGAGTGGAGGCAATCTATTTCTAAGGTACTCGGCGTGAGGGCAAGATTATCTACATCCTTGGTAATGTTCAGAAAGAATTCAATGGAGACCACCCATTTGGGGACCCTGAAAATAAGAAATCTGGGCAAAGTCAGGGCTGTAGTGTAGAAGTTTCCCTATGGAATTGAGATTCTCAAAGAAAAGGTGTGTTGCCATGATTGAAAGAACCAAAACAAGGTGCCATTTTCTTGGCTACTTTTTCATTAACACTGTTTCCAATTTGCTTTTAAAATCTCCATAATAAGCCCCTGTCATTGCCCTGTGTCCTTAGAGAAAATTTATCAAGATAACTCTTATTGTAATATCCCCAAAGAGTTGCCATAACCTCTTGAGCTGATCCTTCTGCTTTGAGTTCAATTGCCCCCCGTATCTGCTTAGAAGACACTGTTCTTTTTTTTGTTTTGTTTTTTTAAGGCACCTTAATGAGGCTAAATCAAGTGTAGTACTGAGAGAGAACTTGTCTACAGTCATCCACAGATTAGAGAGACATGTTTAAACACATTTTGTTTGGAATAAGCCCATACATGTAAGAATTGGAACCCTAGGTAGAATTATATTTTTACTTACTCTCCTACATTGTCTTCATCTATCATAATGAAAGCTTTTTGCTATTATAAAACATTTTCAATATGTTTGTTGCAATCACTGATCTTGAATTGCCATAGAAAATCATTCGTTTCATTAAGTAAAACTTTTATGTGGTATAATTTAGTTGCAGTCTCAATGTATATTATCACTTAATGATCATTCTTTTTGCATGTTTTCATGTAAACATCTGTGGCTTTGTTATCTAAATTGTTTTAAGAGATAAAATCTCTCATCACCCTAACAACTTAACAAGCTATTAATTTCTAGTTCTAGTACAGTCTTTACTGTATTAAATCTAAAATTTTAATGGAAACAGAATTTACTAAGTTGATGTTTTGCTTAGAAATTAGAACCCAAGCATTTAACTTACACATGAAGTACATTCTGCCTCTCTTAATTGTCTTGATGTCCATTTCTCTCCACATTCAGCATCTGTTTGTTTTATGAGAAAAAATTTGTCTTATTTAAAATAAAACATATTTCTTGCAACATATGAAACTACAACGTTTGACTGTTTTTTTAACCCACAAAACATTTAATATACTTTAGGCCAATAGAAATAGATAGGAGATTGAGATATATGAAAAGATAACACCTATGAAACCACCACACAGGTAAAGAAATTGAACACTAGGAGTATCCATGAGGCCCCATATCCTCCTACTCAAAGGTAACTATCTTCACTAGTGTTATCACCTACATAAGCATTCCTACACAATAGTTTTTTAAATGCTCTTAAATATTGTATGATGAAATAATATAGCTAACCATGTCAGCAGTTCAAATCTATCAGCCACACAAGAGAAACATGAAGCTATCTGCTCCTGTAAAGATTTACAGTCTTGGAAACCCTTTATAGGGTCACTATGAGTTGTACTAGACTCAGTGGCAGTGGGCTTTTATGTCTTTTATGTACTATCATGCCATTTTGTTTTACTAGCCTATATTTAGGAGATTAATCCATATTGTTGCACAGTTTAGTTCATTTGTCTTACTTACATAAACTATTTCACTAAATCAACACAAGATATTCTGTCACAAGTAGGCATTTGGGATGTTGCTGGTTCAAAGTTATCACAAGCTAACAATGATATTAACTTTTTTACATTTATCACTTTATATATGTACATATATTTTTCTAGGTATATGTATCACTAGGAGAATTAAGAGATATTGGGTATATGTGTCTTCCATTTTTTTCTACAATAACAAACATGTACATATACTGGTTTCCCCCACTATCTGAAAGTACAACGGTCTTATGAAACAGTCTTTAGCAAACTTCTGTATGCTAAAATGGCATAAAGCCAAGAAGCAACTACTACTAGTTTATATGGGAAAATTTTGCGAGCGTTCTTAGGCCAAAAAGAATACATGAATCCTAAAATAACATCAATGTATAGTAAAAGCAGGAATGATATGATAAAACAGTCTCTATAAAGTAGAAATTATGTCTGTATGATATATAGTTCCCAGGGAAGAAGTTTGTTATGCCATGCTCACTGCCTCTTCAAGTGTTCACTACAAAACCAACACTGAATGCTAGCTTCACTTTTCCCCCCTTTTCTTTAAAGGGGAAATCTTCTGTGGATTTCTTTCTATTTACAAAGACAGGAGTTAATATAGACCTTTCATTAAAGTGAAGTAGTCTGAGGCAAATTTTTGAGAAGCAGGGGATATCTGTATATTCTGTGACCCTTCTTCTAATTTATTCAAAGAAAATAGTTTCAGTTAAGAGAACAATAGCATCATTTATCATAGCAAAAAGAAAAACCCCAGAATAAAATATCCAATGTGCGAGAATAGCTAAGTATACTACTGCATAGCCACACAATGGAACACAATTACAGTCACTATACAGAAAATATTTTAATATCTAATAACTTAGGGAAAGGCCCTCAATAGTATATCAAGTGGGAAAAAATCAGGATACAAAAAATACATATAAAATAATAATTTATTAATTATGAAGGGTTCATGAGGGAGGGAGGAGGGGGGAGGAACGGGGAAAAATGAGCCGATATTAAGGGCTCAAGTAGCAGGCAAAAGTTTTGAGAATGATGATGGCAACAAATGTACACATGTGCTTGACACAATGGATATATGTATGGATTGTGATAAGAAGTGTACGAACCCCCAATAAAATGATTCAAAAAAATACATATAGTAGGGAAAAGAACAAAGTATACACATGCATAGAAAAAAGACTTAGAATATATATTAGTAGTTAAGAGTAGTTGTATTTTTGTTTCATTTATTTTTCTGTTTTCCAAATTTCTTACACATATTTTTTCTTACATTTAGAGAAAATGTATGTAAAAACTAGGCATGCGTGGTCAGTTAACCAGAAATACAAAGATTCTAAAAAATTTATTTAAGTAGTATAGAAACCTGATATAAGGTGTTACCCTCACTTAAAAAAAACACTTCTGATTAAAAGAAAATAATAATAAAGTGGGAAAAAAACTTCATTGTGAATTAGGTGAAGTTTTACAGAGCAAATGGTCGGTTTTACATTCAACAGGTCGTTAAACCTCTTATTGTCTTGTTCTATTTTTTCCAACAGTTTTATTGGCATATAATTCACACATCATACAATTTTGATCATATCAAGAAGAGTTATACAATCATCACAACAATCAGTTTCATTCTTGTACTCATCATCACCTTCCCAGTTCCCCACTTCTTTTTAATGCATACACACTTAAGGAAAATATGAACAGAAAATACCTGCATCTTCTTTTTCAAACCACTGTTGTTTCTGTGGTGTTAATCTGAAACACAATAAGTATAAATTTTATATTATTTGTTGAGCTGATATTCATAAATCATTTAAAATGAAAATTTTCTTATTTTTAAAATTTACCTGAATCGCATTAAATTCTGTAAACATTTATTAGATGGAACGTGTGAATATTCTGACTGATTATTCACAGGTGAGTCATTAAATATCTAGACCAAAAAGAAATCATTAGAATTAGCTATACAAAACAATTTGTTTTTCTTGCCAGAGCTACTCAATGTTTCATCATTTAACTACAAGTGTCATTCCCATCATCATCAAGTACAAACATTAACTGAAACCAATGCATATAAAATTCTATGTCAAATATTGAAAAAAAAAGTTTAAAACTCTCAAGAAACAACGTTTTCTGTTAAGTATAAACAATTATGCATTGTAGTATTTCTGTTGGGGTAAGTGGTCTCATATTCTTGATTCAAGTGAACCTTATCATTATCTCAACCTGATTTCTAAGTCTAACTTCTGTAATCTCTTAAATTGAACATAGGAAACCAAAACAATGAATTAAAAGATGAGTATGTATTTATGAAAGTGCTAATATTTTATCTTTAATTAAATTCTGTTTAATAGATAAACCTCTGCTTTATTAATGTTTGCATTGTCTGATTCACCTTTCATTCTCTCTGATTAGTTTATTTTGAAGGGTCTCCAATTTTTGTTATTTGTCACAAAACGAAAGCATTTTCATCTTTTTTTCTTTTGCATTTTTATCTTAATAAGAAATTTATTCCTTATTTTTGTTGTAATTGGTCTGAATTTTTTTTTATTATTTTAATGGGGGCTCGTACAATTCTTAACACAATCCATACATACATCCATTGTGTCAAACACATATGTACATTTGTTGTCCTCATCATTCTCAAAATTGGTCTGAATTTTATAGATCTTATGAATAAGTTATCAACCTCTCTTAAGAACCAGTGTTTAAATTGCGCCTGATCTGACCCCGCCATGCCGAGGCAAGGCACTGGGGGGTGGGGGTGGGGGCTTGCAGCGGAATAGCAGGGGAGGGGAGTAGAAAGATCCCCAGGGAATGATGAGGGTGGACATTGGAGACAGG